TGAAACACATTAGGATAAAGGAAAAGCTCAAATACCTGCTACCAGTTGACATACATATGATGATGACAACAACTTTACTGTTTTCCAGGGGTTTCTTAGATGTTTTGGGGGTTTTTTTGCACTATTGCAGCAACATGAGTGATGGAAAAACCAGCTCAGTTCTATTCTGCCTCCTATATCTTGAACAAAACTATGAACTAAGTTCCAATTATACTGTGTCAATTACAGGTGCTGATGGTAGAAGCAGATAGAACCTGTTTGCCTTTTGGGTCCCAAAAGGAGTTCAGGAAGCTGGCAGTTAGAAAGACAAATCAACCTTCTCACATGCCTGTTTGATCCCAGACATGCCAGTTTGATCTGGACTTTGAGAAATTCACAACGTAATTTTTTCTTTTCTATCAGAACTCCACTATAATTATACATTTATAAAACCTACCCAAAGTTTCTGCTGAGTCTTCCTTTCCACTTATTTTATATAACCCAGGGGTAGAGGCACCCCTAGGAGTGTGCAGGGCCCAGGGCATATCAGCCCGTGAGGGGCCCGGGGGAGGCGGGCGGTGAGCGGCTGGAGCCTGCAGCACTCGGTGGCAGAACCAGCTACGCTCAGCAGCGGTGGTGCGTGGTGGCCGTGGTCGGGCCTGTACAGCACTGTCCATGGGGCCCCCCAAAGCGCACAGCCTGAGGCAGTTGCCCTGATTCACGCCCCCTAGGGATGGCCCTGTCCAGGGGTATCAACATCATTTGGTCCTGTGGGCTGGATGAGTGGTGCAGGGCTGGATGAATGATCCATGGCCAGACTGGACCCACAGAATCATCCACCCCTCCAGTGCATGCCGGATCCAGTATATGCGGCGCTAGCTCCGGTCAGTCCAGGACTGTACATGGTGCCCATACAAGGCCAGTCCAGGATGCATGCTGCATGCAGTGCTTGATCTGACCAGTGCATACAGTTTCCGGCCCAGAACAGCTGTGGAGGGTGGGGGTGTTGCAAGCAATGCAGATCCTGGACTGGCTGGAGGAGATGCCACATGCATGCATGTGACCTGGACCATCTGGGGCAGGCAGCAGGTGTGGCACCTGTCCAAAGTAGCACATGCCAGGCATTGCACTTTGGGTCAGTCTGGTGTGCACTGCATACAGCATGACTCAACTCTGGACCCAAGGGCAACACCGGGGTCCAGACAAGGGGTTCTGCAGACTGGATCTTTGATGCCCCCTGCAGTATAAATGGAGTTTTCACATTAGCTTCCAATTTCATCACCATAATTTGGACCTTGTTTTATGCTGACAGTGGTTTAAAACTGGAGATTCAGGTGAATGACACACTCAAAGGAAAAACCAAAATCATTTCTGAGGTACCTCAAAAACCACCATGGCTAGGAAAGAACTGCATCTTATTAATGTTTTTATCTTGGTTATGAATATAGCCTCACTGCAGGTGTGATGCTTCCAGATGTTATAATTCAGTAAGCTTCCAGTCTTCCATAACAATTTGGTCTGGCATTGCCATTGCCAAATGGTAGTCACCCTGTGTGTTGTGGATGTTTGTAAGAACTTGAGCTGTTCCTCGGCTGCCTCTCTGGCCATAAAAACCACTGCTGTTTTTGGTGGAAACTGTCTGACCCCTGTAGATTTGAGCCTGATGCTCACATATGCCAAACTTGCTAAGTAGGATAAAGACATCCCTTCGGAAAGCCTTGGTGAAAATAGCATAGAGGAAGGGGTTGGCACAAGAATTCAGTGGGTAGAAAAGCACCAGCAGGATCTTAGAATTGCTAACTGTTATCAAGGGTTTGTTCATAATGGCAGATAAAGCATAGAATGAGATAGGTGCCATGCACAGGAAGTCAGTGAAAATCAACACTGCCATCCTTTTGGCAATTTTTGTGTCTTTGTCTCCTGACTTGTAATGAGGGTTTCGCACAGTGATATAGATTTTGATGTAGCATACACAGATGATGATAAAAGCAATAATGTTCAACATCAAAACAAAGACAACATAGGCTTCAGCCAAGGGTGTTCCAATATCCATAGGTAGGCAGATGCTGACTTTAGTGTAGCTGCTGACTCCAACCACTGGCAAGAGAGCAAGAAGAAAGCATGAGAGCCAACCACCCATCATGACAACCAATGCATACCGGAGACGAATTTTCCTGTCGGGACGCATGGCAAAAGTGATGGCATACCAGCGCTCCAGGGTGATTACAGTCAGGGTATACACTGAAAGCTCACTGGCAAAGACAGTGAAAAAGCCAGCTGTATTGCATCCAGGCCCTGTCTGCCACTCTATGGCATGGTTGTAATACTCTGACCGACTGTAGAGATCCACAGAAGCAATCAAAAGAAGATACAGTCCCATGCAGAAATCTGCAAAGGCCAGGTTGCACATCAAAAAACGTGGGACAGTCAACTTGTAATGGCTGGTGAGAAGGATGAACAGGACAAAAATATTACCCAGGATGGCAAGGAGGTTCACAAACCAAACCACAGTCCTTAGAAATGTATACCCCATTATGTCTTCACAGGGATTAAACTCATCAGGCTCTGGGGTGCATAGTATTTCTTCACTGCCCCCACAAACAGTATAGTCATAGTGGCTGTCAAATGCCTGGGCATTTTCCTCTTGAGGGTTCTTGATTTCTTGGCCAAATCCAACATCTCCATCCCCCTGCTCTTCAAAAAAGACATAGTAGTGGGAATTGCCATAAAAATCCCTGAATTTGGAGTTTTTGTCATACATTGCCTCAGTGTGCTCTGTATCTCCTTCTGCATAGTCTTGGTAAAAAGGACCATTAAGGGCACTGACAGATCTTCTTTTACGGACGTTATAACTGCTGGTCTGGTTACACATCAGGTATTCTGGAACTCTGAAAAAGAACGGGTGAAATCACTACTGGAATCTGGGGTTTAGCTTTAATACAACCGGCAACATGGGAACAGTTGTGAATAACTTAATCTGGCTTTAAATATGTACAGACCAGAATTCTGTCAGATACATTTTAAACAATAAAAGATGTAGAACATGGTTTTTTTTCTTCTTCTTTTTAATCCAAGTAGACAGATATACAACACTGCAATCTTCTGCATTTGAGTTCTTGCTGCTTTTATATAGTTTACCATAAAAATAGATTCTTCTTTTTACTCACAAATACCAAGGGCTCAGATTTCTATTACTTCCCATGAGAATCTTCCCCACAATCTAATATATTTTCTGATCAGGAGGATTTTACTGCTATGTAGGCTGATTTTTTTCCTTTCCTATTTTCAACCAATTATTTTTAGTGTAACTGTTTTTCACACTGTTAATACTTCCTCTTGCTTCTTTGGGTTTACATCCTTCAAGTATTCACAGATGCATCATATCTGTTGTTTATACCTTCTTAATTAATGCAGACAATGTTGCCTTTTCTTTTTACCCATGAATCAGCCCCTTACTCATTTTGGTGCTCTTCTCTGTACTTCCTCTATTTGGTCTAATGCTTCCTAGAAATACAGTGTCTAAAGCTGGCCTTGTTTTCTGGTCTGACCAGAAAGACACTTCAACCTAGCTTCATGACAGTACCACTGTGTTGGTAGCCCCAAATAGCATAAGCAGATTTAGGCTAGAATAGCACATTGAAAATTTGGTTTTAAGTTGCCAATCACTGTCACCTAGTTAGTGTTTCAGGCTGTCGTTCACCAGATGTGTTTACTGCATTTCACAACAGTGAATCTCACTTGGTTCCTTTCTGTTTATATCTGTAGTCTATCTAGGCTACAGTGATTTAATTTTCTGTCCTCAAAGTTGTTTGAACCTCTTCCCTGATCTAATATCATTTGTGAGTCTCACCAAATATACTATCAATCCCATCTCTTATATACTACAGTGAGAACCACCCTAGAAATATTATGAAAAAATTGATATGATTTTTGTTTCATTTATCAGAGATTGGCTCTGAACACCTTAAATCTATGCATTTGGATCCAAAGTTGAACTCTTCAATAACAGCTTATTGCTAATTATAATAAAGATAAAAAAGTATTTGTAATGAGAATAATAGCCATACTAGATCAGATCAGTGATTCCTTTCTTCCAACATCTCTTCAACAATACCCAGATGTTTTAGACTATCAGAGGAGGCAACAAATCCTGCAGAAAGCAATTATGTAATAACCTGTCCACAAGGAAGCATCCTTTTTCCCCTTTGTTAGAAGATGGCTGAGGCTTTGTACCCCTTCCAAAACTTCTGGTTTTTCTTTTTCTATAGCCTTTTCTTTTATTCTTCCTGGCTGCTGGTCTCTAAGATATCTTGTAGCAATTAATTTTGTATTCATCAAATGAAAAAAAATATTATTTTGATCAGTTTTAAATCTATAAACAATCAGTTTTACTGAGTGTATTATTAAATACATTTCAAAAATGGCCTTGAAACCCTTTACCTAAATTATATGACAATAACATATTAGGCAATCTTCCTTTAATCATTTAATTTTAAAGTTTTAACATAAATTGTTAAAAATCACCCTTTCGTTTTCTTCCAGTTCTTGAAAGCACAGCAGTGGCTTGGGTAGGACAAGTAAGCTCGCATTAGTTGAGAAAATGTTTTCACAAGGGGTAGTTTCTTTAAGGTCCACGTATATTTTGCCATGAGTTCTTTAAGGTTCTCCAATCCTTTTGTTGGAAGAGCAGCAATATCTGTCTGGGAGACGTCACTGGTAAAAGGGGAAAAAAACCCTTCAAGTGAAGTGACTGCAGTGAGACATTTCAGATCTTGAAAATGTTTTAGGAGTTACACAGAAATCCACAGCAAAAATAAAATGTGAGGGAGCTGGGGAGGGCAGCTGGCATGTATTTGTTTCAAATGTACCATTTAGAGAACACTCAGTACTCATTATCACAAGAACACTTTGGCCACAGAAAGGATGAGAGAAAGTGCAGCAAATCTGCTAGAGAAATTGCCGTCAGCATCTGCTTTTGTTACTTATTTTAATTTAGGATTGCACAAACAAACTCAATACAACCTGTTTGAAAGTAAAAATCTTAATTCACTCCTTAGTTTAGAAACCTGAAACATTAGCTTTGAACAAGAGATTCAGTATGGCTTTTTTAAAGTTACCAAAACAAAAAAATGGTTTTCAATTTCAAGCATACTTCTTAGAAATCACAGAATCATAGAAAAAGTTAGGGTTGGAATGGACTTCAGGAGGTCATCTAGTCCAAAGTTCCTGCTCAAAGCAGGACCATCCCCAACTAGATCATCCCAGCCAAGGCTTTGTCTTGATACTGTAGATAGTGTTGTGATCACAATAGGAACAGGAAGAAATCTACTATACTCCCAGTAGGAGATGGAACAAAAGCAACAACTAACCCTTGAAGCTGAAATTGAAAATAAAGTTTTAAAAGACTTCATCATGCTATAAGAATTTGCCTTTTTGGAAGCAGCTGTGAGCATCTGCTCACCTAATTCATAGGCCCTAATTCTACAAAGATTTAAGCATATACATAAGTTCATGCACTTGAGCAGTCTTAGGCTCTGGCAGGATTTCTCATGCACAGAGTATTAAGCACATACTGAAGTCTCTCAGGACAGCTATAACCTGAACTAAAGTGGGAGATGACTTGCTCCCCACAGCTTTTAGTACACCTGTACAACTCAGGATTCCCAAACTGGCTACTTTACTTTCTCCTAACACAAAACAGCGCTTACAAAGAAATACCAAACTCTTTTTACACAGGTCTTTAAGACCCTTAGTTTTAAACTCTCAGATGGCAGGTTGATAAAAAGTAAATTTAAACACACTTTCAGGTGAACTATTCCTTCTACTTAGCAAGCTGCTTTTTCTCAGGTTTCCAGTAGTTTGTCTTAAGCCATGTTTTAAGAAAAAAACACTGTCATAAAACTACAGCAATGTTCTTAACAACCTCGAAATCAGCTTGTATTACATACGTATTATATTGAGAAAGCTGGCAGTTATACATGTTGCTATTGTGTCTTCAAATGTCAAGAGTTGTAGTAATAAAGAGCATGACTGTATGTAAATAAGAGTGTTTTCTGTCCATGGAGTCCACTTGATTTGCGGGGATTGACGCAGTGCAAAGCATACTAAAATGCTTCTTTTTCCTTTGCCCCAAAACCCCCATGTCCTGAGTTCCCACAGCAAGTTGGTGTAACTGCCATCTGTGCTAACAGTGTAAATGAAAAAGTATACAAGCATGGGTCAGCGCTGCTCCATTTCTATCTGACAATAACTCTCACACGTGTCTCCCCTTCGGGACAAAAAGAGGGACCTTTTATGAGCCTCCTTACTGGCTAAACAGTGGTGCATTTTGAGCAGAAAGTAAAGGAACTGCACTCTTGGCCTAGCCCTGCTCCTCCATGCAAACTTGGAACTTTCCGGAAAGGCGTCACTGGTTCACAAAGACTGGGCGCGCCCTGTGAGCGGTGCAGTAACTGAAATGGCAGAGGCAATCAAGGCAGCATGCCCAGGCACTGCCTTTGTTGCAGGGAGAGTGGGGATTGCAAGAATCGCTGCAGCACTGTGGTAGCCAGCACTGCCTTGGGCATCATGCGGTTACCTCGGGCACAGAGCTGCGCTGCTCCCCTCTGTTTGATTCTATGTAAGGGAAAACAGCCTGCACGAATCTTCATTTCCTTCTACTCATTACAGCCCATTTAGCTCCCAAGAAGCAGGGAGGAAGGATAATGTACCTGAAGAATTTGGACAGAGTTTAGCTTAAGATTTCCAGGTATTATCACCAGACATCCTTGGGCATTTATACACATACTTTTCTGTCCCACAACACAATGGGCATCCGCCGCTCCTGAGCAGACTTGAACTAAGTCGAGTCTGCTCCACATGCGAGCTGAGGCAAATTGCACTGCACCGCATGCAGTTGTATAAGCAACAAAATGCACATCAGCATGGAGAAAATGGCAGAGACTTGCTTTTGAACTAAAGCACGCCCCCCCCCACTCCCCCACCCCAAACACTGCACTTCTGTCATGTTTCAGAGTGCTGTAACTTTACAGTGCTATAAAAAGTGCTCTAAATTACAGCAGTGTAAAATGTGTGTGAAGCATTTCTATACACACCCAAGAGCCCAGGCCTAAGGAGATTACCTCAGCTGTTACCCTGAAATGGCAGGAAGAGAATAACACTGCATAGATGTGCAGACTGAGCTCTGGTGACAGGCTATTGTGTTGTTGTAATGTTTCTGGGTTGCATGCGTTCATTTAGTAATAATGTTGCATGCCTGAGCTTCCCTGCCTAGCTTGTACGTGGAGGAAGAAGGGTTAGCAGGGCCCTTGCTCAGAGTAAGAGCTGCCTACAGATTGGCACAGATGAGACAAGATGCACCTCTGGCAGCAAGAGAACTGTATAACCTTGTTGAAAAGCCTCGCCGATGTTTACCAAGCCTAGGTGGGCTTGGTAAACATCCTTTGGAGATGGCACCCATGAGCCATCAAGGGTGGCAAAGAACAAGGAAGGTGTCAAACAATGGAAGAAGCAGCCTGAAAAATGGTGTTGGTGGGGAGCTGGAGAGTCTGGAACAACTAAGCTTGTTTTGGGATGCTTGGGGCTGCGTGTGTAGCAAGAAACCATTTTTTTGCCTGCTCCCCCTCCAATGTGAAGCCCCTCCATATGGCAAAAGCCCTGTTTACAGTATTTGCCCCCTTTTGGGAATGCTTTCTCTTTTCTACCTTTTCTTCTTTCCTCCCTCTTCTTCTTTTATTATTATTTTTACAGAATATAAGGTGTTCTTGTGATAAAAAATATAGTTTGTATATAGTTTATGGGTATAAAATAGTATTCTGCATTAGTATGCCCCCCCACCCCCCCATTGTATTTGGTCTATTTGGTGTATGTGCCATGGCATTTCACCCTTTTATGTTTTATATTCTGTGCTTTCTAACTTTGTAACAAATGTACTTTAAGTTTAAAAGTAAGGTGTACCATGTAACAATGTTAGCAAGGGCAGGAATCAAACCAGGGCTTCTCTGTATTGAGCAGGTCCCTGAATGAATCTTGACTGATTGTGCACCACAGTAGCTAGCCAGGATAAGAAGTTAATGAGTGGTAATTAACACCTAGGAAACCACAGATTAATTCATAGATTCATAGATTAAGGGTCAGAAGGGACCTAGTAGATCTTCTAGCCCGACCCCCCGCCAGGGCGGGAGAACAACAAAAAACCCCAAAAGAGAAATGGGACTTTTAACGAGAGGAAAGGATCAATACAGAGCCAGGAACTCCCTGAAACTTCACTGTTAAAGGTACAGAACCCCCGGTTTGAACCAATCAACACCAAAAACTGACTCTTGGGACTGAATACTCCCCCCGCCCAATCAACCGGCCCCAGAGCCCTATTCATCACTGCAGTGAATTAATCAAACTTCATCAAAGGACTCCCAAGACTGCACGTACCTGTGGACGTGATCCCTGGGGTTAACAGCTGCCATCCAGCAACCACCAAAGGGGATGTCCCACAAGGTCAATGACCGCTGGATTGGGTAAGCCCAAAAACTGGGGAGTCACCAAAGTCTTCCAGAGAGGGATAAAAGGCAGCGAAGAGTGACCCCCAATGGCACCCTCTTCGACCTGACCAGCACCCTGCCTGCCCAGTCAGAAGGACCAGCCGGTGACCCCCTTCTGAAGTTATACTGCACTGAAAGAAGCCTTGACTGGCCATCGACGGCAAACTCCAGTGCTTGAGGATAGGTATATCTTGACACCAGTGCTTAGTGTTCATAGCTAGCTACTGTGAGTGTGTGTGTGTGTGTGTGTGTGTGTGTGTGTGTTTGAGGGGATCAGTCCCAAGGTTTATGATCTGACTTTTGCATCCATCTAATAAACTGGTCCTTTGTAGCCAACACATGGACTAGCAAGAGAGTAGCTGAGCTAACTACAGTCAGGTTTGTGTGGGCTGGATTTGAAGGACTGCTTTGGAAAGGGTGAGAATGTGTCGTCTTTACCCCAGTAAATGCCTTAAAAAAGAGCAGTTGTCTGCTTTGCTGCTTGGGATGCTCCGTACACAGTTCTGTCTTTAAAGACGTGAGGTTCCTTTCTTGGGAACTGAACTGAAAGGTAGTTTCCTGAGGCATAGCTATGAGTAATTAGGGAGGGGCAGGGGCAGGGGCAGGGGCAGAACAGCTTGGGGCTCAGAGCTGGAAGGGACCTGGGCTTGGGCTTCCCCTCATTCTAGAAGCAACATGTGGGCTGGCTTCAAAAGTGAAATTATGCTGGTTTGAAAGGTAAATACTTTGAAGAGCTAATCAAGACACTGCCCCTTATTGCAGTGGGAGGGAGGCAATCATATACCTAATTCAAGGTGATTTTTAAAGAGTGTGTTCTATCTGATTATTCTCTTAGTGCAGGTGACCAGGTAGTACCAGCATCTAAAACTGTCTTCTTTCATTTGCATCTCATTAGGAACCTTTGTCCACCAACTACATAATTACCCGCTAATAGTGCTGTATAAATTTGTATCCAGGCTGGATTATTGCAGTTCACTGATGATTAGAGAACACACAAGCTCTAGGCCCTCCATCATCTCCATCTGGCCTGTGCTCCAGATGCTCTCTTGGTTTCCAGACAGTTTCAGGTGCCAATTTAAAGCACGGTCTCTTCAAAGTATTAATTGCTGTGGAGATCTGAATTTGGCACATACTTGTAGAGGTGAATAGGTAAATCCATGCTCACTCCATTTAAGA